GGAGCCAAGACATCTTGAGCTTTACTTCTACGATGATGATCCAAGCCTTAAGCACCGCTCTCGATGATGTCGTGAAGAGAAGTGCCACAAAGACAAGGAAGTCATTGAGATACTTGTGGCCATCCTTCATGACAACCCATACTCACAACATCTATTTAGTGTGGGCTAGGCTGACCACCTCAAGGACTATCATGTCACACTAAACCTTGACCAGAGGATGAACCAAAGAACATACAATGTGCCATCAACTTTAGAGGTGGCTGCTATTTGGATCGAGGGAAGCGAGCTCCTTGGTCAGTTCTAGAATAGTGTTGTCCTGCATGGGAAAGATAGAAGCAAACATGGCATCCGCTCATATCATGGATGTTATGATGCTCTTTCATACCCTCTATTCTTCCCTAAGGGTAAGCTTGGGTGGCACATGGATATTCTGAAGAAAGGAGTTAGAATGGAAGAAGTCATCGAGTACCGTACCCTACAGAAGGCTCATAGTGGGTCAGAACAAGAAATAGGTTTGTTATTCTTCTTATTTAAATACTTCGCATACATGTACCTCAGTGGTTATTCTACAAACAACTCTAATTCATGGCTATTTTTTGTAGACTCTCCTGGTAGACTATGCGTGTCTGTGTGTGACTACTACTGCTACAAGTTTCAGATGCGTCCAGGAATATTTAACCCCATACTGTACGACAAGCGTCTATTCTAGCAGTTTGCAGTTGACACGTACATCAAGATCGAGAGTTCTCGATTAGATTATATACGCAACCATCAAGATGATATTAGGGTCGACTTCTATCAAGGATTGGTTGATAGCCTACATGCTGGTGAAGGTAGAGCAGAAGCTGTTGGAAAGCGGACAGTGATGCCTTCAACGTTTATTGGAGGCCCACGTGACATGAGATGTCGATACATGGACGTCATGGCTCTAGTATGGAGGTTTGGTAAACTAGACATCTTCCTCACTATGACATGTAACCCGAACTAGGATGAGATCAAGCGTGAACTCTACCCTGGTCAGACTCCATAGGATCGTCCAGATCTCGTTGTTCGGGTCTTTAGAGCAAAACTACAAGAGCTAAAGGATAGGCTACTAAAAAAGGATATCTTTGAAAAGGTCCGGGCACATGTTTATGTTGTGGAGTTTCAGAAGAGGGGTCTGCCACATGCACATTTTTTACTAATATGGATAGGAAGTACAAGATCACGTGCCCTGCGATCCGCTCCCGTTGTTTCTTGCGTGCATCCGGCTAATCACCGCGTGTCCTACGATCCATGACCCTCCTAGCAAATCACCGCATGCCCTGCGATCCACTCCCGTTGTTTTCTTAAAAAAACAGTGCCCAAAATGTGCCTAGCAAAACAAAAACAAACACCGCGTAGCCCCTTCTTTCCAAAAAAACTGCCGCTCACAAGCTTTCTAAGAAAAACCATGTCTTGCAAAAAAAAAGAAACAAACAATCAAGGAATACTCGCCAACCTACCGTGTGCCTACGAATGGCCATCCAAAAAAAACAGCGCCATGAAAAAAGATATCCCCAGAAAAAAAGAAACAATCAATCAGGAAACACACCCCGTAACCGAAAAGACTTATCTTTACAGAGCACTTCTCGCTACTATACACAGTCAGAAAAAAATAGCTGTGGCAACAACTACATCTGGTGTCATAGCCTCAATAATGCCTAATGGTAGAACCGCCCACTCGTACTTCAAGATTCCCCTCACCATTGATAATAGGCCCGTTTGCACCTTCAGGAAATAGAGTTGTACTGCCAAGCTGCTTTGAGCATCATCTCTCATTATTTGGGACGAGGCTAGCATGACAAACATGCAGTCAGTCGAGGCGCTGGACAACAGTCTCCATGATATAATGGACCAACCAGACCTACCGTTCGGAGGGAAGAACATGGTGTTCGGTGGAGATTTCAGACATGTTCTTCCCGTTGTTCGGAGAGGGTCGAGGGCTCATGTGGTCAGTGCCTCGCTGTGGATGTTGTACCTTTGGGATTCCATGCGACATCTAAAACTGGTGGGCAACATGAGGGCAAAGAGCGACCCATGGTTTGCAGAATACTTGTTGCGTGTCGGTGGAGGATCTGAGGAGGTGACTGTTGATGATGAAATCCGTCTTCCTCATGATATATGCATACCGCACACCGGGGAAGATAGTGACCTTGATACTCTAATTGACTACATATTCCCAAACCTCAATGCGAATATGTCAAGCAAAGATTATATCACCTCTCGACGATCTTATCTACGCGAACGACTGGGTTGATATGATTAATATGAAGATGATAGGTCATTTTCATGGGAAAGAGATTGTGTACCATAGCTTTGACTGTGAGGTGGATGATCCACACGACTACTACCCTGAGGAATTCCTTAACACTTTGACACCCAATGGTCTACCTCCACTTGTGTTGAAGCTGAAGATTGGTTGTCCGGTCATATTGCTTAGGATCATTGATCCTGCGAACAGACTTTATAATGGTACCAGGCTTATCATATGGGGGTTTCAAAAGAATACCATAGACGCGACAATTATGTTGGGATAACACGCTGGAAAGCGGGGTTTTCTACCTTGTATAGCCTTATGCCAATCAGACGATGAGATGTTCCCTTTCTAATTTAAGCGAAAGCAGTTCCCTATCCGGCTCAGCTTCGCGATGACCGTTAACAAGTCGCAGGGGCAGACTATCCCTAACGTCGGGGTATACTTGCCGGAACCAGTGTTCTCGCACGGCCAATTGTATGTGGCGCTATCAAGAGCTACGGCAAGATCGAACATTAGAATCCTAGCCGTGCCGGCTGCTGAGAAGGACGTGAATAAGAGGAAAGGAAAAGGGAAGGGGAAGAAGAAAACGACAAATGATATATTCACAAATAATATCGTATATAAAGAGGTTCTAACTCCATAAAAGAGGTAATGCATCACACGTCGATACATATTTTTTGAGGATATCAGTAGTACTTTAACTTTAAAAATTAACAAACAACTTATATGCAGGATACTTCTAACTACAGCTTCAGCCATCTGCATGCTTCAACTGCAAGAAGTCAGACACCGCATTTTGGACTAGAAAATCTTCTAGATCATCATTGATTGGTGACCAACTGTAGCTTGGTGTTCGTGCAAAGCACGTTCTCTTAGTTGAACTATTGAAAGATTAGATTCTTAATTGTAGAATAGATTGTAAAACATGTATTGTGAAACACAAACTTGTTATGATTATCTTTCCGTAGCATTTGATTTCTAAAGAAGTACAATCTTATCTTTTGCGTATCGTAGGCATGAAATAATGCGACAATTGAAGTTAATGTTTCAATTTTGCATTCAAATTTAGAGTTATGTTTTAACTATCTTTCATGAAGACTTATGTTATATTGATTGGAACATTATGATTACGGTATGTATTTTAGATAACAGTATAACACACGTTTATATATATATATATATATATATTATCGTGATATTATGTATTCCCGTTGCAATGTACGTGCATTTACGTAGTTAAGCACAAAAGATCCGTTCGAACGAAGAGGTCGCTTCCATTCCATGCTTGATTTATATACAGACTTCTTACAGAGGACTACATGAGTATGGACTATGGAATCCGCTCAAATTCGTGCGAGATCGAGGAAAATGAAAGCATTGAACAAAACTGGGCCATGCGAGCACACGTATTTAGGCTGGCCCAGTGGAGGCCCGAGCCGAACAACCAACACCTGAACGCCGCACATCCCCCAAGCCTTAGCCGCCATCTCTCTCTGTCCATCGCCGCAGTGTGCGCGCGGTACAACATATCGCTCACCAGAGCGGATCCAAAGGGGGGCTTGGGCTCCAGCCCCCCCTAATGTCTTGATTTGAAGTCTAATCACTGTAGCAAAAGCTTGATTTTATCATTAAATCTTCATGCAAATCAACATCTCCATTGTTTTAGCCCTCCTTTATCCCGCATGGTGCATCCATCACTGCTCACCACCACCTGCTCAGTGTCCTATGATTTTAAGGGCCCGCCGGCGATCTCGTCGTAACAACCCTTCTTCATTATATATAAAATCTTATAATATATAGACGTTAATTTTACTTGTAAAACAAAAATAAATTTAATAACATATTTTTAATTTAACATATCTGATAATTATCGAGGAACAATGTAGATTAAGAAATATATTCGTAGATGTATGATAATTATCGAGAAACAATATAGATTAAAAAACAATATATTTATTTTCTTTTCTCACTCATGACAAATGTTTCTTAGGTAAGATTCTAAAATTCTAACACCTAAATTAGAAGAAAAATATGACTATATAGGTACAAAGTACTAGAAGTTTGAAATACTATATAAATAATTAATTTGAATTAAAAAAAAAGAAAAAAATACCTTAGGCCTAAACAACTGATCGGTGATCGCAATTCATAAGAAGCCAAGAATCAAGAAGTCATCGTCGTGGAGCCCTGACTGGTCGCCGTCCTCGTGTGCCGTGTCCGTGTCTCCACTAGTCTAGCTCTTCGCGGCGGCGTGGCTCGCCAGCTCCGCGTGTGTAAGGCGCACATCGCGAACTCACGATCAGAGTGTGCTATGTGCATCGTGACTCTTTGCCTCCTTTCTACCCGAGGGACATGGGGAAAGAAAACTAGGAAAGAAATACCGATGTTGTCTTTTTGGACCACCTGGCCAGTTCTATGTCTCTCTTCTTATTAGTTTGCTAATGCCTAATGAGCTATATGACCTGGGGGTTGTATACATGTGCGTGGGCCCCTCCTCCACTTGAGCCCTCGGCCGTCGCACCTCGTGCCCTACCCCTAGGGCCGGCACTACACCTGCTCCTCCAGTGGCGGCGGCGGCGCCTCGGGCGAACCCGAATCCCCAACACCGTGGCGGGGGGGCAAGATCCAGAAGAAGTGCCACGGCGCGGCGGGAGGCGCCGGCGGAGGGGGCGCCCGGCTGCAGGGCGGTATCCCGTTCGAGAAGTCCAAGGGGCAGCACATCATGAAGAACCCGACGCTGGTGGACTCCATCGTCGCCAAGGCCGGGCTCAAGCCCACCGACACCGTCCTCGAGATTGGTTCGGGCACAGGAAACCTCACCAAGCGCCTCCTCGAGGCCGGGGTCAAGGCCGTCGTCGCCGTCGAGCTCGACCCGCATATGGTGCTTGAGCTCAACCGGCGGTTCCAGGAGCACCCGCTCTCCTCATGCCTCGAGGTACCATTCTCTCCCAGCTCCTAGTTCCCTGGTTGTTGAATAAATTAATTGTTAACCTGAAGTTCGTTCTCCAATTGTTGCTTGCAAAAATTTTTACTGTTTCTGATTTCGGTCAACTTGAGATTTGTAATGACCTGAATGGTGTGGTGGAGCCGGAAAACTCGAAAAAATTGCAAAAATGACACTCGAAAGATTGACTTCTTGATTAAGATGACACTCGGGTGGATGACAAGTGGGTCCATCTGTGTCTATGAATGTGGGTTCAGTGTCAAATCTGCAAACCACCGATGTTTCGAGTCCCGTTTTTGCAAATCGACCGAAAACTCAGGTTTACAATCTTCATGTTTGAAGGAGTTGCTTAAGGAGAGTTTTCTCTCTCCCATTGTGATTCCTGTTCATGGTAGTACTGTTGGTGAACATGTTATAATTTTAGGAGCTTAATTTGTGGTAAACTACGTGAAAACATTCGGTTCAGTGTCAACTACTGCTAAAGTGTAGTACATGAAGCTGACAAGATGCATCATAGATAGCCTTCGTGAGCTAAAGTGCCGAACTAATAAAACGCTGAGGATCTTGGCTTCACTGCCTCATGTTTGAGTTTTTAGGAGCTGATGAATAAGTAATTGCGTCACGATGTAATTTCCAGTGTACCATTTGGCACTTGTGGTACATTTACATGAAGAGCCAGTGAGGTAGAGCGTCTCCAGCGGTAGGAGAAAATCTCAACCCCAAAACTAGTTATTGGGGGAGCTACAAGCCTTTTTTGAGGGCTTTGAAGGGCCTCATCTCCGATACAATGAGAAAATCTTATCCCCAATATCTCATCTGACATGTGTGGTCAATTTGTCATTCACACCCTTTCTTCTATTTCTTCTCTCCCCACCCGTTCGTTCCACGCAACCTCCGACTCCGAGCGCAGCATCGGCACGTCCTGTACCGCCGCCGCCACTCCTATTCCTCCGTCGCCACTCCCTCCCTTTTTACCTCCTCCTCCCATACTGCTCCTCCTTCGTCATCCCTGGCCGTGGCGCCCAAGAAGTTGTAGGTCTTCTTCCCCGTCCCCGGCCATGGCGCCCGCGGCCACCATCTCCTCCTCGTCGTCCCCTTCCTCATCCTTGGCGCTGGCAGTTGGAGCTTGCACCAAAAATCTCAGGTATTGTTGGGAGGCAGGTTTCCCTCATCTTTGAGGGGTTGGAGGATGGATTTTGAGGGACTGAGAAAAACTTTTTCTCATTGGGGGCTAGAATGTGGATCTGCTGGCACTCTCAAATCCCTCAAAATACAGGTTTTTTTCATTGGGGATGGGAATTGGGGGACTGCTGGAGATGCTCTTAGGTTTGTCAGAAATGACTTTACTTTTTCATGAAGATGCCGTGATGTGGTTATCGTTGGTGACTTTTTTTTTCAATTGGTGCTATTCATATCATCATGCTCGAGAAAGCAAATTGAATTGGGGGTAAATCAAATCCTGCAATGAACTATCTATGATGCATCTTGTCAGCTTTCGGTTAGGCATATTTACGTTGTAATGAATGGTTTGCAGGCAGTTAATTTTATGAATCATTCATCGGGGATAAGGAAATTAATTTTAAGTGCTATGAAAATGAAAACTAGCCTGATACGATGAAGTTTAAGATGGTCAAAGTAGATGGCAGTAGTGCGTAGTGTGAATCCTTTGTTAGGGCCAACTGGATTGTGAGTGCAAATTGAACAACATCTAGTCATTATATGTATTTCTTTGTCTTATTTTGCTTTCCCTTCCATAGTAATATGAACAGAAAATTGTTTTGCAGTCCTCCGAGGGGTATCCCACGAAGGTAGATTGATCGGCAGATATGCGTGTAATCGAGAACAAGAAGGCAACAGAGACACACGAGTTAGACAGGTTCAGGCCATCAGTATGACGTAATACCCTACTCCTGTGGTCTGTTGAATTGTATTGGCTATCGTATGATATTGCGTGAGTTTGAATGGGGTCCCTGCCCGCCTTATATAGTCCGGGGCAGGGCTACAAGTCGGTTAGATCTAGGAGATAACCGGAAAGTAATAATAGATTACAGGAATCATAGGATCATACGTATCCTAACAGATCTCGTAGTATCTTCAGAATATCTTCCCGGTGTCTTGCGGAAGGCGCCGAGCAGCGTCGTGCCCCGCAAGGCTTCGTCTTGTGGGCCAGGCCACCCCTGGGGGGTGCAGCCCATGTGGTTTGCCATGAGTATCCGGGGTCGTACCCCCCACAGCTAGTCCCCGAGCACCTTGTATCCGTTGTGCAACGCCGTCTAGAGCTTGTCCGAGCAGGTGCGAACAAAGTCGAGCAGTCAAACTCATGGTTCGAGCACCGTGATGAGTTGCCGAGCAGTTGTGAGCCATCGCCGAGCAGCATGAACCGTCACCGAGCAGTGTGAACCGTCGCCGAGCAGCGTGAACCGTCGCCGAGCAGTGTGAACCATCGCCGAGCAGCGTAACCCAAGTACGGCTTGCCATAAGGGTGTAAGGAGCTCAAGTTCAAAATCAAAAATTTGCTTGCAGTGAACCAAGTGTGCCCACTTAGAGTCCAACCACGAGAAAGGGAGATAGTCTTCTTCAACTTTAGGAGGGGCGGAGTCTTCTAGATTAAAGCAAACACACTGACCGTAAGGTGAAGTGTGCCCACTTAGTCCGCGAGCCTGACAGTAGGTGACGTAGTCATGTGGTGCCAGGGTCCAAAGTAGAAGAAACGTATAAGACTAGCCGAGCAGATAGCCAGTCCCCGGGCGTAGCCTCGAGATGAGAAAAACACATTCACCGCAAGGTGAAGTGTGCCTACTTAGTCCCCGAGCCTGACAGTAGGTGACGTGGTCACGTGGTGCCAGGGTCAGAAACAGCAGTCACCAAAAGATAGTCCTCAGTGCGTTGAGGAACTAGGTCATAGTGCTGACGCAGTCCCCGAGCCGCAAGAGGAAATCTTGGAGAAAACAAACCCTGGAGAAAAAACTAGAGTAATGGCTGTACAGTAGTAATTACTGAGCCATAACAGATGGTGGAGATGTCGGCGAATATTCGTTGAGCAGTAACAACTTGCGGCGATAAATGGGCGATACGGGCTGTAGTTGCATGAAAGCCTAGATAACGGCCCACCACGCTATTGCGGAGAATTCGGAGGGGCGCGAATCATGGGAGCGGTTTTCCAAAAACCCTCGAATGCGAGAGGTGGGGGAGTGCTTTATAACTGCGCCACCGCACCCCGTGCTCCCACCTTTGCCACTTTGCCATTTCATTTTCCTCCTCAGCCCTCGCAACTCTAGATTCATATTCACCCGCATTTCCATCGCCACCCCAAACCAGATCTGAGAGATGGCGCCAAAGAAGGGAGCTGGTAACCCGAAGAAGGCGAGCACCGAAGTCAGTCATGATGAAGAGTGGGCGCCGTCGCATATGGGGGAGGCAGAGCTTGATAGATTGGTGGAGGTGGGTGTTCTTCCTGACCACATCACCGCCGGATGGCGGCCGACCCTTGGTGAGCCCTATATAATGCCTCATACCGATGAAGTTGTAGTATTTGAGGACTACTTTTGGCATGGATTAGGGTTTCCTATTCATCCGTTCTTGAGAGATTTGTTGGAGTTCTAGGGGGTTAGTCTGTGAAACCTCCACCCAAACACCATATTGCACATATCTATCTTCATCCATTTCTATGAGGCGTATCTCGGAATCCTTCCCCACTTCAACCTCTTCTATCACCTATTCTGGTTGAAGAAGAAAGGCGATGGTGGTTCCAAGGTGGTCGGTGGAGTGTATCTTCAGCTGCGCAATGGAATGGCGGGCGAGTACCTTACTGTGCCGCTGAACACGTCGCTGAAGGGGTGGAACACCAAATGGTTCTACATGAAGTAGAGCCATCCTGCCATCTGCTGTGACGCCGACCACATCCCGGAGAGCTAGAAAAGCTGATCGGAGAAGCCAAGCAGTGCTGATATGGAGCAAGTGAGGGAGCTCCTCGCCCTAATAAAGGGTGTGAAGACCAACGGTGGACTGGTGGCGGCGAGCTTCATAGTGCGCCGCATCCAACCCTGCAAGGAGAGGGCCCACACGGGCTATGACTTCAAGGGCGACACCGACGGCACCTGGGAGAGGACAGAGATGCTGTCGAGGGACGATGTGCTAGAACGGGCTATAGAGCTATTCGCTCCATTTGCTTCATTCAGCGTGTTAGGGCAGACAAGACCCTTTAACTGTAAGAATCCGCCTCCTTAGGTAAACATCTCAAATGTGTGTTCTTGATACGTTTTTATTCTGTACCATTGTTGAGCAGTGTGCTGAAAGATCCATTCACAGGACCGAGCGATGTACTTCTCGAGCATGCCAAGGGACGATTGGCTGCAGGCGGTAGACGCCTCCACTAGCTCAGTCTGAGGAGGGAACCGTCAGTGCCTCGTTAGAATCCAGAGGCGTGGACGTTGGTCGAATGGAGAGTCCTCCCCCCGATTTCAGAGAAAGTCCGGGGGTAGAGGGCAGCGGCAAATGAGCCGGCCCGGAAGAAGAGGAAGACGGCTGGTGCTGCCCCCCGCAAGCCAGGTGGCATCTCGCTTGGCGGTGACCGCACCACTCGGACGCAGAGCGCGGCGATGTCCAAGTGGTCAGATGACGACGGGGCTCCAGTAGCCCCTCGTCCAAGCACTAGAGTGCCTCCGCACAGCATGCGCGTGGAGGAGCAACCGAAGGGAGGGGAGGGAGACCCCGAGCAGTCGGTGAAGGGAGTCCCCGAGCAGCCGGCGAAAGGAGTCCCCGAGAAGCAGGCGAGGGAAGTCCTAGAGCGACAGGCGGAGGAGAGGTTGACAGCGGAGACCACGAGACCTCCACCCCCAGGGCATGGGAGTCGACCCCAAGGCCACACCTGGGGGCTCAGGTAGGCAGCGCTGGTTCAAGAAAGTATACCGGCAAGCCGACATGTAAGTACCCTTGTCCTTTTGGTTAATGGGCTGTCGTATCCTTACCTCTTTTGGCGAATGATGAGCTGATCTTAAGCAGAGCAAGGCATACGGAGGATCTGACCCCGCCTGTCTAGACTGACGAGCAGCCGAGGGCTGGTCCTGGGGCGGAGGCAATGCCGATAGATCCTGTCCCGGAGTCCTCGGGTGCTCGGCGGCCTGCTGAGGAGTCGACCGCCGCTGCTGATGTACTTGGTGGTGGTGAACGGTTGGCGGCGATGACCGACGGGTCGATGGTGATGCCCGTGGCAACGGCGGAAGCCGTCGGGTCTTCGGAGGCGGCAGCTAGAGTTGCGGACGTTGCGCCGTAGTCTGCGGCGGATAAGCCGGTGGCACCCGAGGAGCAAATAGTGCTCCCTAAGGCGTCAGAGGGTGTGGTTGGACATGCTGTC